TCATTATCCTCATTATTTCTTTCACAATTCAACTATACAGGCCAAACAAGCATTCGTACGATACACTAGGTACTACTTCGTTATTACAGTGCAAAAACATCCTCAAGAATTTCGTAGTTAATGAAAAAACAGCGAAAATACAACAGCAGGAAAAATCACGCTCTTTGTCAACTTTTGCCGAAAAGCACGCTCCTGCCAGTCCTTTCCGCATCACACATCGATCAGCGCGACATCAGCGCGTTTCACCGCCATATATATAAGCACCCTGGTCGTGACGTATTTCATATGTTTCTCAATATTTAAATCATTCTAAAAGTAAATGAGCAAGGGAGCCACCGGACGGTAAAATAACATAATCAAAGACTGTTCAGGTTGCAGACATGTCAAACTAATAGGTTCCGATCGAGACACTTTCATTAATACTACTGTGCTACATTGCAATTTACAGCTAGGAACATTTTGGAACATACACTAGATTTCGTTTAAAGTATATTGTATCAGTATAAAAGTCTGTAGTTTTATTAATCATAGACATAGTATTCCACTCATTTTTTGTTTCATACCCCCCTCGGAAATGTCGTAATTCGTCTCATCCCCCCCCCCAACTTACCCTCCACTCCCCCGGTACACATACTTTATGACCGGTCCCTAAGCATATTGTTAAAGAATGAAATGTTTCCCTTGATTCCCAGAACGAGGTCTCGGGGTCGAAAAAGCTACAAATCTAGGGGCAAAGAAGCAATATACACTCTCCAAGGGCACATCAGAGACAGAGACTTTAGAGACAGTCCGGGCACAGATTAAGTATATTTACTAGATGTGTAACTTAATAGGACTTCATGTCCTCTAATTTCCCTAGATGTACACGTCATGCTCACGCCATAACACTTGCTGGCAAAATGGCGTCCTGAAAAACCGACTCTCTGCGGCTTTTCTGGATCGAAATTTAAGGATTAAACAATCAAGAGGATCATTTGTTGAACTTTTAAAGTTGTTTAAAGCCATTAAAGTTGTAGAAAAGGTGTTAAATCATTTTTGAAAGCAATGACGTATTATCAAATGGGATATATAAGTCCGCCAGCGACACTTGCTAGGAAGCCGATGGCATCCATGAGGACAAATCTGCCCATACTTAATATGTATGGTCAGGGGCACAGAAGTGAGCAAAAAGCATTGCAAATTGCAGAATTTAAAGAGTTTAGGGCAGATTGTAGACTATGCAAATTCAGACTGATAAAATGCGAAGCACTTCCAGGGACGCTAAGAACTTTCCCTGAAAAAATATCAGGAGCATGCAACTCTTAAGTTCTGGCTTGATTCACTTTAAACACGGATTGTATAGTATTTTTTAATAGATATGCACGACGTCCTTTCTGACCTTAACGAATAACGACTTATCCTGAACCTCCCAAACCGTTGATAAGTAAATCAAAGTAAAGTATTCACTTACGTTGACCAGGAGAGGAGAACTGTACATGAAAGGAACAAAACTAATATTGTCATATCCATCGTCGAAATGAAGTTTAACTGTGTTAGCTTTGCTCATCAACACTCCTTATATATAAGAAGCCAAATGCAACCGATACGATACAATACGACTGACGGATTTCATGGTAATATGATAGTAAAATGCTGTCAACAATAAGGCTATATAGAGGATAAGATACCTTAAATTAACTACGGCCTTTAATCGTTGACATACATAGAAACATCCTGTATAATACAATGGAAACATTCATTGTCTTTGTATTGCTATATTACTGCACTGTCTGCACGCAATAAAAACATATATACAGACTACATTATAATTAATCGAGATGAATATTATTTTTTATTACAAAGATACCAAGTTTTACAAATGGTTTGCTTATGCGAAAACTCTATCGCAATGCATCTAATTTACCGTAGCGTAGTGATTTGCATCCGGAGTACCAAACGTATACTCGTATAGTGGTCCGCAGTGGTACGCTACGGCAAACCACTCCGTTATAGTGTAAACACAATACTAAGAAACGTAGTGAATTTTTAACAAAATTGATTTCCGCAGTTATTACGGTACGGCAATCCACTCCGTTTATAGTGTAAACACAATATAATTCCATAGTTAGTAGGCTACGGCAAACCACGTCGTTATGGTGTAAACACAATATAGTCTCGATACTAGAAACGTAGTAATTTTTTAACTTGCGTCATAGTGTAAACGGGGCCTAAATCAACTGATCAGGGAAGCGAAACAATTGTTTGGTGCCGGCGTGATGAGGTGCAAGCGGAAGGGTGTGTTTTGCTGATTTTAACACAGTGTCAATTAAATTTCCTGAAGACATCAGGTACAACAGTTTTATCACAATTTCGTTGCCTGACAAGTATAATTACTCAAATTTCAGAGCAATTTACTAAAAACAGAATGATATTAGCCCTATTCATATTAGAGACGGACAAGTCGTCTAGACGAACAAATCGTCTCTCAAAAATCGTCTTCACAGACGGACAAGTAGTCGAACACTAATTCAGACGACTTGTTCGTCTAAAATTTTGTCCGACACGTTTTTACAACTGATGATTTGTCCGACTAAAAGGCGATTTTGAGACGATTTGTTCGTCTAGACGACTTGTCCGTCTTTTAATGTGAAAACGGCTATTGTCGTAATTATGAAATTTTGTTTGAAATGCGAAAAATGCAGCGCAGAGACAACCTTGCTTTTGCAATACCACTTTTTAAGTTATTGATTTCGAAATGATCTGATTTCGAAATGATCTGATTTCAAGTGGTTTATATCTAAGTTCCTGACTATTTATAATTTGATTGGGTTGATTGATTGTGATAAGATTAAGAGCAGCAAAACAGTGAATGAAATTTCATCGATCGGAACACTTTATCCAAGGCCAAAAGTCTGCAGGAAAAGTTAGTTAAACATACATCGTCGCTTGAAGATTATGAAAACGTGAAACTCAGAGTTGCGACTTCATTAATTTTAAGTAGAAAGACAAGAATTATAAAGCTCTACCAATATTGGTGTTGAGCACTCTTTAAACTACTCAGTATATATATATATATATATATGTATATATATATATATATATATATATATATATATATATATATATATATATATATATATATATATATATATATATATATATATATATATATATATATATATATATATATATATATATATATATATATATATGTATATATATATATATAGAAAGACACAAAAACTTAGCAAGCTTTGTTTGGCATATTTATTACTATACAGTTTCGTACCACGTAAATAACGTGGCACTCTTCAGATAAAATAGCCTATGTTTGACCTCTAGCTTCTAACGAACTTTTTAAATATGTACAGATGGTAAAGGATGCTTATTTAATTACAGATCAATTAACACCTTAAGCAGTGTCACGAAATATTAGTATCAAGTTATAAAGTTTTTAAGTAGATATTTATTAGCGTGTCTACACGTGGAGACAAGTTCGTTGCGACGATTAAGTGTTGCAATGTCCGGTTTACAAATAATAAAATACTTCTCCCAAATACACAGGTTACATCTCTTGGATGCATTACTGTAAGATATATATATATATATATATATATATATATATATATATATATATATATATATATATATATATATATATATATATATATATATATATATATATATATATATATATATATAGAAGACAGTGTGGTGGATGTGGGACACTACAAAACTTTATATACTACACATTATGCCTAAGCCTTTATGCGCACGCTCACTGCATTTCACAGTTTAAAAACGGCGATAAAGCACATAAGTAAAGACATTGTAGCGCCCTTCAAGGAAAGCTCAAACAACGGCAACTGTGGACAGCTGTTTCACCCTTTTTGGGGCTCATCAGCACAGTGCACCGATGATGAGCTTCCACATACCAAGAATATATATACTATAGAAGGCAGTGTGGTGGATGTGGGACACTACAGAACTTTATATACTACACATTATGCCTAAGCCTTTATGCGCACGCTCACTGCATTTCATATATATATATATATATATATATATATATATATATATATATATATATATATATATATATATATATATATATATATATATATATATATATATATATATATATATATATATATATATATATATATATATATATATATATATATAGGCGAATGTCAATAAGTATATTGAGTGTCGAGTCATACGAAAAGAGTGCTCGATACGAAAGTAGAGCAAATAAAAGACAAAGAAGTAACTCAAGTTTGTCTTTTATATATATATATATATATATATATTTATATATATATATATATATATATATATATATATATATATATATATATATATATATATGTGCTTTATCGCCGTTTTTAAACTGTGAAATGCAGTGAGCGTGCGCATAAAGGCTTAGGCATAATGTGTGGTATATAAAGTTCTGTAGTGTCCCACATCCACCACACTGTCTTCTATAGTATATATATTCTTGGTATGTGGAAGCTCATCATCGGTGCACTGTGCTGATGAGCCCCAAAAAGGGCGAAACAGCTGTCCACAGTTGCCGTTGTTTGAGCTTTCCTTGAAGGGCGCTACAATGTCTTTACTTATGTGCTTTATCGCCGCTTTTAAACTGTGAAATGCAGTGAGCGTGCGCATAAAGGCTTAGGCATAATGTGTAGTATATAAAGTTCTGTAGTGTCCCACATCCACCACACTGTCTTCTAAAGTATATTTATTCCTGGTATGTGGAAGCTCATCATCGGTGCACTGTGCTGATGAGCCCCAAAAAGGGCGAAACAGCTGTCCACAGTTGCCGTTGTTTGAGCTTTCCTTGAAGGGCGCTACAATGTCTTTACTTATGTGCTTTATCGCCGTTTTTAAACTGTGAAATGCAGTGAGCGTGCGCATAAAGGCTTAGGCATAATGTGTAGTATATAAAGTTCTGTAGTATCCCACATCCACCACACCGTCTTCTATAGTATATATATTCTTGGGATGTGGAAGCTCATCATCGGTGCACTGTGTGCTGATTAGCCCCAAAAAGGGCGAAACAGCTGTCCACAGTTGCCGTTGTTTGAGCTTTCCTTGAAGGGCGCTACAATGTCTTTACTTATGTGCTTTATCGCCGTTTTTTAACTGTGAAATGCAGTGAGCGTGCGCATAAAGGCTTAGGCATAATGTGTAGTATATAAAGTTCTGTAGTGTCCCACATCCACCACACTGTCTTCTATAGTATATATATTCTTGGTATGTGGAAGCTCATCATCGGTGCACTGTGCTGATGAGCCCCCAAAAGGGCGAAACAGCAGTCCACAGTTGCCATTGTTTGAGCTTTCCTTGAAGGGCGCTACAATGTCTTTACTTATGTGCTTTATCGCCGTTTTTAAACTGTGAAATTCTGTGAGCGTGCGCATAAAGGCTTAGGCATAATGTGTAGTATATAAAGTTCTGTAGTGTCCCACATCCACCACACTGTCTTCTATAGTATATATATTCTTGGTATGTGGAAGCTCATCATCGTTGCACTGTGCTGATGAGCCCCAAAAAGGGCGAAACAGCTGTCCACAGTTGCCGTTGTTTGAGCTTTCCTTAATTGAAAGGCGCTACAATGTCTTTAACTTATGTGCTTTATCGCCGTTTTTAAACTGTGAAATGCAGTGAGCGTGCGCGTATAAAGGCTTAAGCATAATGTGTAGTATATAAATTTCTTTAGTGTCCCATATCCACCACCACACTGTCTTCTATAGTATATATATTCTTGGCATGTGGAAGCTCATCATCGGTGCACTGTGCTGATGAGCCCCAAAAAGGGCGAAACAGCTGTCCATACTTGCCGTTGTTTGAGCTTTCCTTAATTGAAAGGCGCTACAATGTCTTTAACTTATGTGCTTTATCGCCGTTTTTAAACTGTGAAATGCAGTGAGCTTGCGTATAAAGGCTTAGGCATAATGTGTAGTATATAAATTTCTGTAGTGTCCCATGCACATCCACCACACTCTCTTCTATAGTATATATATTCTTGGCATGTGGAAGCTCACCATCGGTGCACTGTGCTGATGAGCCCCAAAAAGGGCGAAACAGCTAGCTGTCCACAGTTGCCGTTGTTTAAGCTTTCCTTGAAGGGCGCTACAATGTCTACAGTTGCCGTTGTATTAGAATTATATATATATATATATATATATATATATATATATATATATATATATATATATATATATATAATTAAGGTTCTCCAGATTGAAACATACATTTATTCAAAAATATATATTCTAAATATTATATTCTTTTATTAATAAAAGTATATTTCAATTCGGAGAACTTTAATTAATTATATATCAAATAAAAAAAAAATTTTAAATATAGAAACAAAATATATATATTTAACGTTTCTGGGCAAGCCCCTTCTTCAGAAATGTTCAAATTACCTTACAAGGCCTTGTCCACAGTTTTTGTAGTCTATCGTACTTAAAATTTACATAAATTAAACTAGTAATGACTTTCCTCCCTCATGTTTAATCCCAATGGACAATAACAATTGATTTTCTCTATCCATACAAGTGCTGACCACTAATATTTCTTATTATACTTTGGCCGTACATATTTAGAGAGCTTTTGTGATTGTTAAATCTCAATCTAAACAACGTAATAGTACAGCCCACATATTGCATCTTACATGCGCCTTACAATTAAGTAACTAAATAAACCACTCCCTCCGAATTGCAGTCGAAGCGATGGTTAATGTGGAATTTTCTACGCTCAACATCAACTCTCAAAAAATGAGTGTATGAGCATTTTTTCGGGGAGGGGCATTCGGGTTTAAGTGACTTTATAGGGTTCAAATTATTGATAGTACTGATGTTATTAATCCATTGGGGATTAACCATGAGGGAGGAAAGTAATTACTAATTTAATTTATGTAAATTTTAAGTATGATGGACTATAAAAACTGTGGACAAGGCCTTGTAAGGTAATTTGATCGTTTCTGAAGAAGGGGCTTGCCCCGAAACGTTAAATATATATATATATATATATATATATATATATATATATATATATATATATATATATATATATATATATATATATATATATATATATATATCTATCTATCTATCTATCTATCTATCTATCTATCTATATCTATATATATCTATATATATATATATAATTATATATCTATATATATATATATATATATACATATATACATATATATATATATATATATACATATATATACATATATATATACATATATATATACATATATATATATATACATAGATACAACTACAGACGGTACCGTTTCGGCCTTTTGGGCCTCATCAGTGTAGTGCTGATGAGCAGGATGAGAGTAACTGCTATTTACAGTTACCTTTGATGCCTCACGATTGTGGGACATCAAAACCATCACTGATGCCAGAGCGCTCAAACTGCAAGCAGTGAGCGTGCGCAATATATATATATATATATATATATATATATATATATATATATATATATATATATATATATATATATATATATATATATATATATATATATTTCT